AAGGTAACTTCCTAGCAAAGGTCTGGTTTGTCTGCTGGCTTCACAGCATGGAACCTGACATTTTGATGCTCACTCTATCATGTACGTGTCTGTGTCTATGGACAGATTCCAACTGATAGTTGTATGGATTGCTGCATTTTAGAAAAGTGCTGTGGATGACCTAAGTAGACTTCTACTGACGACCTGGGGCTGTTTTCATATAATGTGCACTGTAATCTGGTCAAAAGTTGTTGGGTAATGACAATGGGTGACTTCTAGTCTCTGGTGCTGTCAATGTCTTCTGTGGAGGAGTCTAGGTAAGTTTAGTGAGGAGACTATGATGGCTCAACATGTATCTATCGGGAGGCTTCATGTCCCACCCTTTTCTCCCAGTACTTGGTTTTATGTGGTCCAACTCAGTTGTGCAGAGGTTGTTACTTCTCTGTATGATCAGTGAGTCTGGTGATAAGAACTTCCCTGGGAAGGGAAATTAGTTCAGGCCAGGACAGAAGAGCATGGCCGGGTCTAAGAGGCTTGCAGACAGCAGGGAGGACCCACTTCCTTCCCTGGATTAGAAAAGGTGCTGCAACATTCTAGTCTTCTTCCTTGCCTTTCTGGATTCAAGAAAGGTGTGTGTTTTTGTTGTTTTTATGTGTGTTTTTGGGGAATGAGAATGTGTGTTTGAGCCTCTAAGTGTATGTTCACTCTCTCACGGAACAGTGGAACATCTTTAAGAATGATGGAGATGGATTTCAATGAGAAAGTACTGTGCCTAATCTGGTTAGTATCACTTTGCCTAAGTCAAAGGACAGATGGAGCTGCCCATCACTCTGCATGTCCACACAGCTAACTACACATGCAAGGCCACACAATTGATGCAAATTAAAAGTTTTTCAGGTGTTTGTAGAGGCAGAATTATTTCTCTGCAAAGAAACCCTCTGGAGAAAAACAAAGTAATTGGGTCCATGACAGTGAGAAAGAGGCTACTGAGAGGCAGCAAAGGCTGCCTGTTGGTTTGTGTCCTTCTCTGCTCCGGGTGAAAGGAGGCTGACCACTGATGACTTACTGCATCCTGTTTTGTTTTTCTCCTCATCACCTGCTGCCATTTTCCTTTCACTTTTGCCTAACCTTGGTTCAGCTAACCTGGTCCTAGGTGCTTGGCCTGGACTTTTTTCTCAGAAAAATTCTGAACTGTAGAGGTGCTTGTGGCTGCATCCCAGTCCAGCAGAAGACTCACAGATATGGTGAGGTGTGAGATGAGGCTGTCTCAGGGCACTGCTTAGGCTCACCATACTCTCAAGTACCCACTCCATGTTGTGTCTGCAGCACTCAGAAACTACTTTTATTCCAAACTTCTTCATCCTGAGTTCAAATCAGCCTGATTTAGAGTTGGGAGAAATGAGATTTCTCAGACATTGCTAGTAGTGTAAAATGGTGCAGCCCTGTGAGAAGCTATGTACAATTATTCAGAAAGTGGAACCACAGTCTTCAGGTGGAGCATTGATTCCAGAATGGAAAGTGGTGTCCACAGATATTAGGGGACAACAGGGATTCAGCAGGACTCTTCAGAACATCCCAACTAGCAACTATTCAGATACCCATCATTGATGAGTACAAACATACAATGTGGTCCATCGGATATTGTTAAGTTTGGAATAATATATGCAGTCATTTGGCTGTGAGTTAGTCAACAGTCCTTTACTCAAAGAAATCTCTGACACAACCATCTTATTTGAAGGAAAGGTTAATATAGATTACTGATTGTAGTGATTTTCTAGTTTTCTGAGCTCATTCCTTTGGGCCTCAATTGAGGCAACCTGTGGTATAGAGAGCTTCTTCAGGAGGAAGCTGCCCTCCTTGGAGGCACTGGGAAGCACTGAGTGAGAGCAAGGGGCTGGTCCACTGCCATCCAGGGGTCCTGTGCTGGGGAACTAAGCCTTCAATGCACAGACTGGGGAACTTGCTAGGAGAGCTTAGATTACAGATCAAGGAACCCTGGTGTTCACCTGTGTGTGTACAGGATTTCAAGGCAAGCACCACATTGACTTATCTGCCCACTGAGTTCTCCCAGATCAACAGGCATGCATATGTTATACAGACACACAGGCAGGCTGAACACCTGCACATATAAGCTAAAAATAAGGTGAAAAATGATCAAAACTGAGTAAAAGTACACAATCTTCTCTACATCCTT